AAGAAAGAAGCCTGTTGCTGACAGGCCTACACAAGTCGCACCGATATCGAGATGGATTCGGCGGTGAAGGTGAGCTACACCGTGAAATTAAAGCCCGCGTCTCATATTTCCTGAGGGGATACGCTTGGTACTGGGTAACGTAGCTGCTCTTTGTGCAAGGGCTCGCCAGTGTTTCTGAACATGGGCTGGGTACACGAAATCAGGACCCGAAAGTGACTCAAAGCAGCAAATTTTGGCGCAAACTCAACACTGGAATTGCAACTGCTTGGGAGTCTTTGAGAACCCAACCCCCACCATCTAGCCCTCAACGTTTCGTGGGCTCAAACCACTAGGTATTACGGGCCCGCAGAAATATGAGACTGGAAGCCTCATCAAAGTTGGACCTTCCAGGATTTCCAAAATTGTCGCAACCCTCGCCCACTCTCTTTCAAAATTTCGCCCGTCGTCCCCCAATCAGACCCTCTCCCACTAAAGGTAATACCTTTGGTTGGTAGGAAATATGAGATGCGGGTTTTAAGACAGGTGAAAGGGGGGATGGGGGAGAGGGGGAGGGGTGGGGGGAGGGGGGGGGGGTGGGTGATGGTGGGAAGGAGGGGGGGTGGGGGGGGGGGGGGTGGGGGTGCGGGACGGGCAGGGGGTGGTAGTACACATGGGGTGGGACGATTCGTTTTTTTGTTTTTGTTTTTTTTTTTTTTTTTTTTTTTTTCGTTTTGGCATGCTCGCTGATCGGACAGCAGGGTGACCCGTTGCATCCAATGGTCAACTCAACCCCAAACCCGTTTCGATGGGCTCGGGCGGGAGGGGACATGTGCTTCACAAGTGACAGGTTTGCAGTGACATTCACGGGGTGATCTTGCAAGCAAGGCAGTGAATTCTCCACTTTTTTGGAATACCAAGCGGTGCATGTGGGCAAGTTGAAAACTCTTTGTTTTGTTGCCAATGACGTGAGGGGCGCGTCGTGTACTGGAGGGTGCGCTGTGTTGGTCGGAAGAAAGGGCGGGGGGTGGGGGGGGGGGGGAGGGAGGGAGAGGGGTGGGTTGGGGGTGGTCCCTCTCTCCCTTCAGGTCCGGTCGGGATAGAGGGCAAAGTGGGGCTCGCTTTGCCTCAGATCTGGGCTGGGGACAGCGGGAAGTGGGAGACAGCCTGGCGGTGTGTACACCTTGAGCCTGACAGAGGAACACAACTTTTCAGGGTGCCGGTAGACAAAAACGCGCACGGGTTTCGCACGGCATCGTCACGGGCATGTAGGCCTTTCGCACGGGCATGAAGGTTACCATTTTGATGTTTTGCGGGGTAGGTTTGAGTGGCATATTTTGGCGAGCCACTGTTCACTTAGTTACCCTGTGTTAAGTTTCTACGCTTTCAGGCGAGAGTGAGTTTCTCTGGTGTAGCACCAGAGTGGTGGTTGGCGGGTGAGATGTTGAGTGAGTTTTTCTGGTTTGGTTTGCTCCCTTTTATACTCAGTAAAATGGGGCGAGGGTTTGGAGTCGCATTTCAGTTCCAAATGTTACGGGCGTGTTCTAAACATTTCTTACATTACGAATTGAACATTCGTGTCGCAACAATAACTGCTGAGTGGATTGTGGGAATTTGATTTCGAGTCTGTTCCTGGGTTGGCTGTCGGATGTTGAGAACGAACCCTGGCATCAGGACATCGCGACTCCATTTCGTTGCCAAGTCAGCGTTCGTTTTCATGCGGCGACGCTCAAGCCACAAACAAACCCAGCGAGGCGTGTGTACTTTTGCGAGCTCAACGAAAGGCTCGCTGCGCTTCGTCGGAGCACTATTCCGAGCGCGGCTGGAATTTTGTGGCGAAAATGGTTGAGGCGCACATCTTTTGTCTTGTGCCGCATGTTTGTCACCGCTGTTATGATAACAATGCACTGTTGGCTCTGTTCACGGCCCACGTTGAGTGGGCCGTTGCCCGTGTGACAACGCTAATGGGCGATGCTTTCTGATTGGGCCACGTATTGGGCTGGGCCTCCGGTGCGCACCATGTATACACTAACCGAGAAGCTCACGTCTCGCGGCTGGGATTGGAGCACGCAACGCTGCACCGAGTTCTATCGCGACTGTTCCTGAAAATTTGGGATTGCGGCGGCTGCGAATGAAAGGCCTTCGCGGCGACGATCGCACTGCCGTTCACTCTTGATCTTGACCTAGTTCAGCCACCGTCGGGAATTGTACCCTAGAACGTCCCTGTTTCGAATTCGGATCCACTATATATTCCGATCTTGCTGTGGCAGTGCAGTGCATTACCGCATCGCATTGTAGTACCGCATTACCTCGTTCAAACTATCGCATTCACCGTGACGGCCCGTGGCCGGGCCACCGGCATTGACGGCATTGACTGCATTGACGGCTTTGACGGCGGTGTGCGGCATTTGTGCGCGGTGCCAGCTCGGGCGTCGACGAGTCAGCCTGACACGCGGACTACAAGCACGCTGGTCGCGTGGTGTAACGTCTGCGGACGGAGTCACCCTAGAGTGTAGAAACGCATTCCGCTGCGCCTCTGGGTAACCTCGTTTTGACCCAGTGGGTAGCGAGGTATTACACTGGTACCAGAGCTTAGGGTTCGAACCCCGGCTGGACACATTTTCCGCGCACGGCTGAGGTCGTGGCGAGAACTCGAATGTGCGAAAATACAGCTGCGGTTGTATCCAGTCGCGAACCCAGCGAACGATCCTGGTAACCGCTGTGCATCACCAGCGAAGTCGCTGACTTGGTCTACCAGCGAATCTCGAGGTCCTTGTGGGGGCCGACTCCCTGAACCCAACGAGGACGTTGGCACCAGGGGGGGACGAGTTAACGTCTGCGGACGGAATCACCCTAGAGTGTAGAAACGCATTCCGCTGCGCCTCTGGGTAACCTTGTTTTGACCCAGTGGGTAGCGAGGTGTTACACGTGGTCTTGCCGCGGTCACTGCGCGCCGACGAACAGCCCGTGCCGCTGCCTGCCGCGGCGTCGCGGCGGTACTGCTACGAGGCCTTCGGCTCTGACGCGGATTTCCTGCCCGAATGGAGCTCTGAGCTTTCCCCTTGATGAGGTGAATCGCCGCGCGAGGAGATGATGCTCCGCACGCCACCGCGTCTTGCGCCGCCACTGCCGCCGATGGCGGCGCCACCGCCACCGCCGGTGCCTACTGCTGTCGCTGCTGCT